GTAATGCGGGACCATCCGTGCTTAAATTAAAAAATTGAAAAACAATTTATTCACCTCATTACTGTACCGTATGAACCTGTCCTGTTATCCTCTACACAATAATCCGGTGAATTTCGTAGATAAACCTGAAATTTAAAAACAACAAGAAATACTGTCAGATATTTCAGTAATTTCAGCAGTTGGAAAACAATTGTTCGAAGCTACCAATTGATAAAATTTCATGAAAATGAAAATAAAATCAAAATGATAGAGCACTTAGGGCTTAGTTTGAGCAGTGTAAATGTAATTGTTGAAGATAATAATGCTGAGAAGATTTTCTCATTAGTTGTTGAGATTTTATGAGTTTTTACGGTTGCAATTTATTTTAATGAAAGTACTAAAAATATTTATGAGAATTTTTTTTTTAATGAGAATTCCTCATGTTCTCACTCTCTCATTTGATTTTAAGAAATGCTAATTAATAGAAAAATAGTTCGTTTACCAAATGTTGTTTTGACAACAATTCACCATGTATAGCCTTATCAGCATATTCAGATTGCGCCAACAATTCTGATAATGGTGATGCTTCCATATAGCGTTCTCTCAACCTTAATAATAATAGTAATGAAAAAATGTCTTCTTTAAATTTTAGATTTGACAAGTTAAAATTTTTTGATGGAATCATTAAGACATTCATTCTGCTTGAAGTTATCCGAGAAAAGAATTCGTAATATCATAAAAATTACGACTATTCTTCGAAGAGAGCGCATGCAATAAATGCAACAAAAGTTAAAATATATGATGACGGTAACATTTAAAATACTTACTACATGTAATGGTTGTGTGGAAATAAAATAAATTTAAATAAATAAAATAGCAAACTTCAAAGCTATATCATAAACATCAGGCAGGGTATTCCAGCATGTTCTCACATTACAACTGCTTGACACACCGTGGCATTTGCATTTTCGGTACAAACTTTCTTGTGTTATCTTAAAGAAATTTATATTTTAATTAAATAAAAAGATTATTCGAAAAGAAAAATAAAAAAGTTATAGGAATGGTTTCCTTCTTCAACATATCTGTAGCAAAATATGCTTTGAAGAAGTAGTTATATGTTATTGTGCTAGTTTACAGTATTTTCCTTTTCTTTTTGTTAGTTCATTTTGTCCTTGCGAAGGTTAACGATTAATTAAATATGAAGTTCACGCATGGTCTTTCCTAAAAGTAAAGAATCAAAAATAATGTGCTAAAAGCCAAATTAATATGAACTATTGTTAAAGCTAATAATTTGATAATTTAAAAATAATAGATACCTGGCGACCAACTTCATTATTATGCTCATTCATTCGTGCTCGCGGTGAAAGGTCAGTGATTGATTTATGCGCCGAGAAATCGGTATTAATGTAGGCCCAATCATCGATTAATTCCTACAAAACATTAATCTAATATGTGATTCATTTTTCATTCTTAGTATCACATAAAATCAAAACAGATATCATATCAATGTTGAAATTTTTGACCTTCTTAAGTCTTCCTTGATATTTTGATTAAAAAAAGTATATAAGTGTCATTACTATTTAGTAATGATGTGAAATAATAATCTGTCAATGGTGCTTTTTTCAAAAGTCCAATAACTTTTGAAGTCTGAAGAATTACCCGATAACGTCGCCTGATTGGAGCGGTTACGTTACGGGGACGCCATTTTTTCCGCCACGAAGCATCTGCCCATTCACGGCTTACTTTTTGTCCGTATAATACATTGTCGCTACATCCTTTCCACTAAACACTCAAAGGATGAAACAAAGAAATGTGAATGCTTCCGAAACGTTACATTCAATAGAAATTTACTGTGAACAAAAATTCTTAAATGAAATTTTAGAAGAAATTTTTATAAATCTTCAAAATAAATTTTTAAAAGAAACAAATACTGTAAGAAGTTTTACCAAGTTCTTGCCTGAATTGTATTACCTTATAAGAAGCATCAGTAGATGCAGTTGGTGAATTCAGGCCACATGGACAGTAAGGTAAATCACCGGAAACACAGGCCTTAGCTACATGATGTGTAAGTGCTGCGGACGAAAGTGCATATACGAATGCTTGCTCTTTGGTACCTAAAAAGGTCAATGGTCCTACAAACTCAGAATCTGCAACATTTAGTGCATTAATTAAATGAATGAAAATTTTCAACTTTATTTTTATATGTTTTAAATTTAAAAGAGATCAAACTTCCTTAATTTAGTTGAGGTAGGAAAATTTTCATAGAATTCATAAGTAATATTTGAATAGAATTCTTCAATGCTTCACATTACTCATAATATAATGAGCAATTACATGAAATCAGCTAATAATAATTTAAAATGAGATGGATTTCTCAGAAATAACTTAACTTTCGTGAGATCAGATTTGTACTTCGGTGCTCGAAGTATCGATGAACAATTCCAACGACGATCGGCAAATACTTTCTGACATGCGGATACAGTTGTTTGTGAGGCTCGAATGATGACAGGCATTAGATCTGATATACGACGACACATACGAGCCTACATTGTTGTATAGAGGTAAATTTGAAATCTTTTATCATTTGGGTGCAATATTATTTATACTTCTAATTCCTTATAATAAATTAAATTTCAAGAGGTCTGTAAATTTGTCTTTATTTATGCTACTATTAGATTTTGTCATTATAATTCATCGCATTGTTTTGAATGAAATTTGAAAATTTTCACTAGCGAATTATAAATTTAGATTAAAAATAAAAAATCACACTTATAATAACGTTCTACCGTTATTACTAGTATTAATAGCAAACTGTTCAACTTACTTACCTGATATGCAACAAGTCCATAATTTTTACGTAAATTCTGATTTTTGGGACAGTGTTTCGGTTCGGTCCATGTATTTGTTATAGTATGGAGTGATCTAGAATAAGATTAAAATGATCTTGAATAAGATTAATGTTATATAGAATGAATTAAAAATTATTTATAATATGACTAGAGTAATTTGGAATATGGAATACAATGAATTCATTTAAGGAAATGATTTTGCAAGTTTTATTACGCTATGAACTTTTAAAGTTACATGAAAGTATTTGAATTTTGCTGCTTTTTTTCTGCGCACTGCTTTTATTTTATGTTAACCAAACAACATTGATATGTTTAGAAAAAAAACGAAGTCATTTCGTTTACAATTCATTCGCCTAAATTAATCGTAGAAATAGAATTCCGCAGCATCCCACGGTGCTAATTTAAAATAATTGGTTGACAGCCAAAAAATAATAAACGATGGAAAGATAACAAAATAACAATGCCTCACAATAGATTCCTTTTCTATCTAATAAATTTCTCTTCTTACTTTTGAGATTTTTTCAGTAATACTTCGGATTACAGTAACACTATTCTCTACGTCAAAATAAAACGAAAAAAAAGATTTGTTCAGTTTAATTAATTAAATTTTTGTTTAGTTGCTTTAAAAAAACAACAATGAAGAATTTCTATAATTGACGTGGTAAAAAATGAACTTTGAGAATTTGATTACGAAAGACTCAAATTTTAAATTGATGAATTACATTGCAATTATGCAGTTGTACCTTCATGGAGTAGAAAAGAGAGAGATAATTAATTAACGTAAACTTGACATGAACTTGACTTCTTTAGATAAATGTGGTTCAATCATATACCAATAATTGGCAGGTACTGTATTCCAGGAATGAGCGAATCTTGAAGATTTGATAAGACTTAATTATTTCTGTATCACTGAGAATAATAGCTAAACTTATTTAATTCAAGTAAATTGTGAATGTTTTGGGAAATTAAACAAAATTTTTGTTAAAAATTAAAATTTTCTATTAATAATATTGAAAAATTCATAAAATTAAGGGAGAGAAAAAGATATGAAGTGATAGAAACTTACAGCCACTTAATGGAAGTACATCGATTGCAGGTACAAATGATTAAAATTAATATAACTGATAACATATGAAACGATCCTGTTGATAAGATATTCATTTTTGCTTTGAACAAAATTATAATCAATTAAACTGTCGTTTGATCAGTTAGTGCATTCATTGATCTGATTGGAACACAAATGATTACAAATTGTCAATAATTTGGAGAGGTAAAAATGATGGATAGGGAGGGGAAAAAAGGAGGAGAAGTTTTTTTTTTTTAATTTTTTCGCTCGATGAGGCTTAAAATGAAGGCCATAAATTTGCATAGGAAAAGAAATGCAAAAACTCCGCCCGTCTTTAGAGCTACTTGATTTAAAATGATCTTTTTCTTCTTAAAACTTGGAGCATAAACCTATAACTATCCAATTTTTACGAGCGTATTTTACGGCCTGATTTTTAGAATGGATAAAAGAGGGGTTAAGAGAGAGAAGAGAGAGAGTACGGAAAATGAAACAGTAGGCTATCCAAGAAATTTACGAGAATAGTCTGAAATTTCCCGAAAAATCGTAATTTTCGTAGGAAATCATTTCAATTTCAAATTTTTAGTACTCACCGGTCTTTTTCTCCTCCTCCTCCTCCTGTTTTCTCCTCTTTTTACTTATTTCTGTTCCCTTTTAGGACAAAGATTTTATGGGCCTGATTAAAGTGCCTTTCCTCTTTTATAAAGTCTTTCTCTCTCTTCTTTCTCTCCCCTTTCTCGTTTTCTTATCCCTGTCAACCATCGAATACAACTATTATTGTCAACAATTATAAATTTGCATACGAACATATTATTATCCATAAAATATAAACTATAATTTACTCTTGCCGTATTTGAGAATGAAAAAATATCATAAAATAGCAAAAAAATTTTTCTCCATTTTTTAATGGATCATTGATCGATGATAAAGTTAATTTTTTCAACAAAAGAAAGCGAAATAAAATAATCGGGACTTCATTTATTCCGTGTTTTTTGAAGTTTAATAAAGACTGTTTGAATTTTTTGAACCATTTTTTAAATAAAAGTAAACGAATTTGAGAATTTACTATTTACTTATATAGTTTAATTTTGATCGTATAAATTGATTCCAACCAATGGTTTTGACCAGCAAAAGTGAAAAATTGAAGGAATAAAAAAAAAGTTACTTTCTTACAAATCAACGATACATTCTATTCTGTTCATACTACTAGTTCCTGAAAAATTATAATCCACAATTGTTTTTAGTGTTTTAATAAAGTGTAATATTATTGAATTTAAAAATTATGATTTGCTCAAATATCTGAAATGATTAATAAAAATTAAATGATTTTAAATTTTATTACAAACAGTAATTGAAGAGATTAGGAGAAGTAAATCTTTTTTATATTGACATATATTACGTATTCATGAATGAAAACTTTTTGCAAACTTAAATATTTGCAATGATAGATTATACCATTAACAATTTCAATAAAAGAAGAATACTGAATATTATAATCATTTAAATTATAAATTTAAATTTGAAGAATTGAACATTTTTTGATATTATTAGCATCTAGCAAATTTTAATATTCATATCAAATGATCGTCAAATACTGGAAAAATCAAAATCCATTTCAAAATTTCCAATCCATTCGCTGTTAATAAAAACAATAATAATTTACATCGATAACATTATCACTGAATAGCAACACTGCCAATGTAACACTAACATTAATATAATAAATAAGTGAAACTGCTAATGTAATAATGATTTTAATCGTAATAGAAAGTCAACATGATAATAATTTTACTATGATGGCAATAACTATTTAAATGATAATGATTTTATTGTAAAAGCAAAAATCTGACAAATGATTTCATTAGGATAGTAAATAGCAATTGTCAACATAATGATGATAACAATTATGATGATAATTAGAATTATTATCGCTGGGTGTTATGAAGAAGATAAATGATAAATGATTATATCCTCGGGAGATAACAGCACAACACAACAGCATAGACCACTTTGCTACAGCAACGAATTATTTTCCTTCCTCATAATGCTGTACTATTTTCGTTCAATAAATTTCACAATTAAAACTTTTAAATTTCAAAATTATACAGAAAAATAAGTACATTTGTATTACTGCTTGTACAGGATTATGTGAAATGCTATGGAAGTGTATGAAATAACATTCAATCTAATGAAATTAAAGAAAAAATTACTAATAATGGAATATTTTTTTCCAAAATGTTAATTTCAAATTTTCTTAAAATTTTAATAACTCAAAATTTAAATTTAAAAATTTTACTAACTTTATTTTATAGAAGAATAGGTGAGCATAATTGAGATATAATCATAGAAAATATTAGATCAAATATTGCATTCTGCAAGTTGATTATGAATGGAATATTAGAATACCCCAAAAATACTATCTTTTATTAAAACAGTAATTATATTTTACTTATTTACGATAGATTAAAAGGCAAAAAAAATTACGAAAGCGTCTATTAAAAAACATAGTAAGAATTTTAATTCTAAAATAATTGGAAATTATGATTTTAATAAAATGTTAGAGGAGGAATTAGTTGAATTATAAGCTTTTGCAAGTATTAATCCATTTTATTTTTATTCTTTATCAAAGTTTAACAATTTCTTCACATGTTTGAGATTTTTAAATTTTATAATGTTCAGATTAGTTGAATTTAAATAATGCGACAAACTAATTCTTGTTTTTTTCTTAATTTTAGTAACAAATGGAAAGCACATCCGGTCGTCATTTTTTCCTCAATTACTGCTTTCAATACTGTTAACTATCTGAACATAAAAGTTCTTTGAAATATTGCAGATCATTAATTTAATTGTCTTTCAAAATAAAATGACCCTGGTTAGTAAATGTTGACCTGTTCTGATCCTTTAAGTTTAAAAACAAAGCATTAATTTGTTTTAGCAAATGTTAATGCAAAGACATTTATATATGATATTTGATAAATGAACAAAAAAGTGAAACGTTTTGTTTTGTTTTGTTCAAAAAACAAAAATTTTTCAAATGAGAGATATGATTCGAAAAATAAATCTTATAGGCTTTTTACAATGTTTATTATTTTACTATGTTTTCATAAAATTTTAAAAATATTAATAAAATTTTGAAAGTCAAAAAAATCAATCAACAGGTATGATTTCTAAGTGAAAATCTGAATCTGAAAAACCGGTCCTGTTTCATCAAGAATGTTCAGCACCAAAAATATAAAAAAATTTAATGGAATTGAAATGGAAGTTAGTAATATTAGTATTTTAAGTAATCAATCATTTCAACTAGGTTGAATTTCGTTTAAAATTTGTGCATTCAGTCAAAGAATGCTTAGAATGCTATTCACCAAAGTTTTTTTTCAATTTCACTTTTGAGGTTTTCTTTTTTCAGTAATGAATAATGTAATTTGTAAATGAGCTTGATATACTTAAAAGTAATTTTTATTTGTGATGTGAAATTAATTTTGTATTTTAATTCTATCCATTTCATTGTCATTCATAATATTTATTGAATGTTGTAATCATTCATCCAAAAATTTGTTATTTTACAATCTTTGCAAATCTTACTATTCATTGAATGACAATAAAATGGATAAAATTGAAATACAAAATTGATTTCATATCACAAATAAAAATTACTTTTAAGTGAATCAAGCTCATTTACAAAGTTACTTTATTTATTACTTTTATTCATTTTTATTTATGCTTGTAAAAATGAGTAAAAGAGAAAAAAAATTTGACTATAAAAATTTTCTCATTTTACCTGACAAAGCAAATCAATTGAGATTGAAAGTTAGAGAATTATTGATTGAAAAGGAGCAGAAAGAGAAGAAGGAAAACTTGTTATGACATTTATGCCATACTGATAAAATGTCAATTCTTCCACATAATTAACCAAATCAAATTACCTTTTAATCATCTACAAATTTCTATCAAATATATTTAGGAAATGATTTATAATTGAGAAGTTTTATCCGTTAAGTAATGGTCAGTTATTTTTACTTCCATTAAATCTAATTATGCTATCGAAAAAATTTGTATGATGATCAATTTTAATCGATTAACAACCAATCACATCATTTCTTCAAATCCAACAATGTGCGTTATTTGAAATTTTTGAATTTAACTATTTGAATATTTTTACTATTTTGTAAAAGTTATATATGTATGTTTTTCATAGATTAATACGACCTATCCTAATACTTTACCTGTCATAATTGATTTCAATTAATTCATAAGTCTATAAGTAAGGTTATAAGTATAAGTAAAGTTTTTCTAACAGTTAGTAAAATGGCAGTTAGCTAATAATAGCTGTTGAAAAAATTTTTTGATCTATTCAAATTTTAATGATATCATTGATTTATTTTTGCATGATTGAAATCTAAATATTATAAAATCATTGCGCTTTCATGATTTCAGTAAATTTCAAACGTGTTAATTTTTTATGATAGCTGTAGCAAACGATGGGAGGAAGGGAGTATTAAAGTATTATGAATTTTGAACAATGTGTGATAATTAATGATGAGATTCTAATAATGCAATCTGATATGACCTAATTTTAATTCCCGGATAAACTGTTTTATTTCATTTGAAATGCATAGCATAAGTGCATTACAGCGGTACTTTCACAATTGATCCATTCATTCATTTCCTTCAATTTTAATTTTATCATTGAATTCTATTATTCGTTCACTTCCAAGTAAATTTTACACGATAATATATGTTCAAATATTGAAATATGACATTTCATATCGTATTTTCATCGAATTATTTTTGATTTCAAGTTATACTATTTGATTAAGAAAAAAAGAAATTCTATTCAGTAAATAATTATTTGAAATGTTTGGAAGCCTTTATTTAATTTACAGAATCTAATTCAATTCCAATTAAAATGGAATCCATTCGAATGAACAATCCTTTCATTTTTAAATCGACTTTATATCAAAATTGATTGAGAAATGAATAGTTAGTTCATTCTCTTTCTTTTTTTCTCTACCTTTCTCTCTATCTTTTCTTCCACTAATATTTTTAATGAAATAAGCAAAACGAATTTATTTGTTTATTCTCGGAAAAAATAAACGACAAATAGTGAGGAAAAGTTTTTCACTAAAACAAACAATATTTACCTGAAAGCTCACTCATTCATCCAGCCAAAACCGAAAAACTGTCCTTAATAACCGGTTTTCCGTTTAATATATATAATAAATACATACAAAATTTAAAGATGCGGACAAACATGTAACAGACAGACCAATGGAAAAACGTACATGAATGTACACACAAACATATACACACATACACATGCATACACCTACATGTACACATACACACATATACAGACATACACACATACATATACATACACATACACACATAAACACACATACACATATGAAATAAACCAACAAAAAAAAAATACATACACACACATACATATACACAGATATACACCATATGCACAGACACATACACACACACACACACACATACACATACATATCTACAGACATACATACCCATTTTGTTGGTTCTGTTTGGAGAAGGAGAGGATGAAGAAGAAATTTGATGTGATGCTATTTGAAGTTTTGCGTAGTTTCATTCGATGCCTCTGACGATGAACAATTATTGCTTTATTTCATTTCAAGAAACTTATCATATCGCTTTGAATATTTCCTCCCTATCATTTCATATGAATTTCAGTAAAGCACTCCCTGAACACCTTTTTATGTTTCCCCTCTTTTTACGCCTTTCCATTTAGAGTAATTCTTAGCAGGACAGATATTACCTTTACATTTTCTTTTTATTTTAAATATTTCAAATAAAAGTTCAATTTTAGTCTTAATTAACCTTTATTATCGCTTGCTATGAACTTTATTTAACAGTTTCAAGATCATTTCAAATTTCGACAAAACAAATTCATCAATATTTAAGATATATTGCCATTTTTAATTTTATTTTTTCTTTTTTCTGTCTTCCATTGCTTATTTGTCTCGCATTTGATGTTAAAATTTATATCCCTACTTTGTGCTGACTTGTTGAAAGAGCGTCTATACGACAGTCTAAGAAATCGGTAAAAACTGGAAATTACGAAAGAATAAATTTCTTTTCTTTTTCTTCCATCTTTTGCAGCGATAGCGAAATAACAAAGTTAGCAAATAAGAAATTAAATATGATTGCTGATGAGGAGTGAAGAAAAAAACAAGGGAATGAGGAAGAAAAGGAAATGGAAGGGACGATTGGTTAATAATCAAATGATATGTGGTTGAACGAACACTCGTTAACTTCACTTTTTAATATTGTTTTCTATTTTTCTCATTTTTTCTCTATCTTCAGATTTGTTCATCTCTTTCGTATTTTCATTATTTCCGCTGTCTAATTACTAATGCATAAATATCTGAGGATAATATATTTTTCGCCCGCTCATTTACATTTACAGTTGTCGTAGTAATCATCTGTCCCATAATCATTAATATTTTAAAAGAAACTTTTCAAATATTTACTCTTTCTTAATACAATCATTCTCAAAAGCTATCAAAATTTATAATGAATAAATGATCGAATTAAAATAGCAAAATTGCTGTACAAAATTCCAATTTGCTAATCATTGAATTTAAAAAAAAACGTGTAATCGTTTTATAACAATATATGAAATTTCAAATTTCTTCTTTTCTTAATCAGAATTTAGTTTCTCTCAGTTCGGTTATGTGATTCTTACGTGAAGTCATTCATTCTGCTTTTTCGCATTACACGTTTTTTATGTGAAGTCGTTTATTCTCTGTTTCTTCACGTCACATGCTTCTTAGAGAAGTCATTCACGGGAAGATCACACCAATTTTTATCAGTATATTGTAATATTGTACTTTTTAATTAGTTTTTATAATTTTTTCATCTCATATTGTTCATTTTTCCTTCCTTTTTAACACTGCAAAATTTATGACGGAATTGCTTTTGTTATGAATGTCTTCTCCGCCTGCTCACATTCACTTACATTTACAATTATGTGGCAATCATCTGCTCCATAATGATTAATATTTAAAAGTTTTCAACTATTTAATAATAATTGCGCTAAAAGCTATCGAAATTCATAATCAATAAAAGTAACAATGTCAACTGTTTTCATCCATCTTATTTGTACAGTAAAAGTTATGATAGAAGTTTTTCAACTAAAATTTTTTCCTATATAATTTTTTTTATAATTTAACAGTTTAATCTATAAGTTTTCACCTGTAAATATTTCATCTTTGGTATTCTTTATATTCTGAAGATATCAAAGAAGAATGCTAACTAACTGATTCTTCAATGAACTAAAATATTTATCTCATTTTAAAACTTAAAATTTTCATTATTTCTTTATCATATACAGTACATCAAGCAAAATTAATGTTGCATCGATTTATTTTGTTGCTGTTAGAAACGATGAAAAATTTAATTTTGCTTCAGTTCGAAAAATTAAACAATCAACGAAACATAAATACATCAGAAACGATCAAATAGCGCTTCACTTATTAGTTGTTTGTTATATATTATCATGGATTTATTAATACAACCGGAAAGTCGAGGGATCCGATACGAAGGTTATGATAACGATTTCATTCAGTGTATTTTCGAAGATGCTAATGTATCCGGTCGCAATGAACGATATGAATTTAGGTAACGAATTCAAACCAAAAAAGTAGATAAATATTTAAGGATTGTAAATTCAAATAAATCTATTTTATCATTTGAAGAATAAAAAAAGAAATAAGTATATATAAATTAAAGATGGAAAATTCGAAAGATTTGTCATAGTCATGCTATTAATTAATTAAATGATTTGCAACAAAAGATTAACTCTTCTAACTAAAATAGCTGAATATCATATTTATTTAGTAATATTGTTAGATGTGTATTTTGAAAAAAAATTATTTGAAAATTTAACTTGCTGATTTTTGAAAATACTATCATTTATACAACCATCACATTTTAAAAATATGCGTAATGAATATATGTAATGGAATATACGTAATGAAAAAATATACGTTTTTTTCAATGAAAACTGCAGATGTCGACCTAATTTGAAGTGTTGTGGACGAGTATGTTGTATACCTCAAGAAACTGTAGTTCCTCTCTGGTACTTTTTCATTAATTAATTACTTTAAAGGAAGATTCTGTGCCGTAAATTAAGACTTGAATATTTGACTTGAATGAATATATTGGAATATATTGAAAATTTGAATATCTGATCATTTCAAACTATGATGTTTTATGTTTAAATTTAAAACAAAGAATTACTTTTTATGTTTTAAATTTTTCTCAGAAGATTGCAAAAGAATATGTTTTATTTCAGGTTGATAATATTATTTATAATATTAGGATTACTTCTTCTCTCGGCTCTTCTCGGTACAATAATTTGGTTCTTTAGGAAAATTACAAAGCAAAACAAATCTTCGGACAAAGCAAAGCTAAGAAGGAGTTAGTTTTAAATTTATCTTTTACTACTTTCCTCATTTCAATAGGTCATTGAAAGGGTTGTTATAAGCCAATAAAAGCTTTGTCCTTGAATAAAGCAAAATTTTATTAATTAAATTACAGTATAATAAATGAATATTTTCAAAAAAGTTCTCATATAAAAAAGATCACATATAAATATTTGAGAAATATTATTTCAACTTGAAAATTAAGACTTTTCTTTGAAATGACAACTTCTGACAATTCCGTTTACGATGTTTTCATTTAATCCCTTAAATAGGAATCTATGAATAACTTCATGAATATTACTTACCTATCCTCTTCACATATTAATTTTTATCATTCTTTGTCATTCCAACCAACTCGCCTTTGTTTTTCCGGATGTCTTAAGATCTCCTCATCCAAATATCATTTATCACCTTAAATCAGATATTTTCATTATTTTATGTCATTGAAAATTAATTTTCATTTGTTTGGTTAATGTTTATTTAATATTTTCACAATTTTTATTTTTGAGAAAATTTATCCCTAAAGTTACTGCTCATATTTGATTTATTTTTTTATATCCGTTCATATTCCACTTATTCGTTCTAGAATAATTACCAAACAATAGTTCGCTGAAAATTTAATACTTGTGAAATTTAAATTTAAAAAACCATCAAATTGCTGCACAAATTCATTATTTGCATTAATAAATGCGTGATATTCCTTCTTTCGCAGTCCATACTAACAAAACCGCTTGTTCATCCTTCTATTAACGATTTCTCAACAAAGTTCATTCAAAGGACAATTGCGCTTCATGACGTTGTCTACGGATATGTTAGAAATGAGAATTTAATTTGCATGTTATAGGATTCAGATGATTTAAACGTCATGCACATAATCCTCTCTCGTTACTTAAATAGAAATTTGAAAATTTCAAAGTTTAAAACCCAAAATAACATCCTCTGCATCCATTCTTTTACCTTTATAATTTACCCAATTTTCTATTTCAGCAGCCAATCAATATGGCTATCATTCTTATAAGCAGAATGAATCACAAGAAGGACTTGGCACAGAAAATCTGATCCGGAAAGAAAAGGACGATTTGTACAGTGCACCAAATGAAGTTGGAACTACGCATTCTACGCGTGGAAGTCGCGGTTATCGCAATCCATTATATACCACAACTACTAGTACAGTAAAAATTCGCGAAACATTCGATCGAACAATCGATGATGGTAATGTATACGACAAAGCTGGAACTGGTACAGATACAGGTACCGGTACCGGTGGTGAAACAACCGGTCGATCGGAAACGACTGTAGATAGTGAAGGACGAAAGCAATTAAATACGGCAGGAATACGACGTGACGAATATCAAGTAGCAGAACCAACGCCATCTACCACATATAGCGCGCCACGATCATCATCGGAGCATTACTCGACCCGAGAAACATTCGAGGAACGATGTGAAGAGAATTACGTTGTAGAAAAAGAAACTGACACGAAAGAATTATTATGAAAATTATTGTAATTTGTATATAATATGCTGAAAAATTGTCAAAATCTTTTTCAAAATCAAAATTGTCTCTAATCGGTCAGAAACAATTTTGATGGTTGGAAATACTTTAAAGTACTTTCAAAAATTGAAATTTATCGAGAAGTTATGCAACTATCTATTCTACTCAGGTACTATTGTCTTCCAATTATCAATAAGATAGGAGTAATCATTTGAGATATTCAATTTCAGATTTATCTAAAAATTTTCAACTTTTCTCTTCTTCCACTAATTTCCAAAGTTTATGTGAAAAAATGAAAGCAATTTTAAAATGCATGTGTTTTTGCATAGAAATATTTCTGGAGAACATTACACTTTCAAACGAATTGTTTGAGATGAGAAGCAAGGGATTATCATATAACTCATATGAAAACCAAAAATTAAAAAGGTGTATGTTATTTCCTATCCAGCCGGTCCTGTATAATTTACTCATTGAACATTTGCATTTTAACTTTTAAGTTCTCGAGAAAAAATATTTATTTCCTTGGCTAAGACCTGACCCAAATAATTAATTGGCATTTGTCCCAAGCTTCATGATTAAACGATACGATGATTATTGTAAAGAAATAATAATGGCGATGGCGACAATAATAATAGTAATTAGAATGTTAGAATTGTAGAACTGTATTTTTTTCGATGAATTTGTGCGAATCTTTTCAACGAAAAGATAAAACTTATTTTTGCATGCCAGCCTGCTTTTCTTTTTACTTTTTACTTTATATTTTACTTATGCTGTGAGTGGAAAGTACGATTTTCAAAAGATGAAACGTCATTTTCTACAAAAAGAAGTACCATAATGTACTGAACAATATAACTAACATTTTCAAACAAAATTTTTCTTTTGCTTAATGGTACTTCAGCGAGCGGTAAATAAAAGACATTACTTGTTGTATTTATAAAAAAAATGACAATAATGGAAATATCGCATAAAGAGTTTAAATTCTTTTATTTTTCCTCAAAATTTAAACTTTCAAAATAAAAAGTCCGAAGATCCCAATGGATGAACTATATGAATAAAATGTTCTAATACAATACATACATTTATTTCTTAAAAACTTTGATTTTGTAAAGACTTCAAAAAATGTTGAGAATTTTCTTCTTTTTTCTCATAATATTCTATTCATTAGACTAAACAAGTTGAATAACAGCTAGTAAATCTACTTAGCTTTTTTCTTTCATTCAAATTTTAAAATTTTTCAAATTCTTAAGAAAACATAATAGTGAAAATTTCTGCCTGCCTGCGCTTGACTTTTTAGCTTCGTAAAATATGAAATTAATCCGATATTAGAAATTTATCACAAATATGTTGCACTGATAAGATCTAAAAAATTTGTGATGAAATCTATCAAAAAATAACAAAAAATATTTTTCTATTAAATACTTATTTAAATTGAAAATATGTATTATTAAAAGATATATTAGAATTTACTGGAAAATCTTTAAAAAATTTCGGAATCGACCAGAAGTTGAAATTTTATCATTTCAATTATAATGCGATAATTTACTTCTTGGAAAAATATTTGGAACAAAAAAAGGGCTCTTAACTGAATTGGAATACATTATTTCTGAATTGGTCCAACAATGTTTCCAAAAGTTAAATCATTTAAAAGAATGCTAATAAATCAGAAAAAAATTCAATATTAAGTAAGAAAAATATAATGTTGTTTTCATTGATTGATAGACTTAAATTGATACTTTTAGCGGAACTAATCATTTGTTAGATGATGAAACGAACAAATGTTAATCATTTAGAATCAATTTTTGGATATAAAGTTTTATTGTTGATTTTTGATAAATCTTCTAAAAGTTTTAGTCGTACGAATAATATCTCAGAATTGAAGTTGGAACTCGATAAATCATTAGTTTATTATTTGTTTTATTCTCATTTCATTTAATAAATTATTAGTTTATTATTTGTTTTATTCTCATTTAATTATTTTCAACATTATGTTGAACTCATATTGTACTTTCTATACTATGCCAATGCAGTGTTACTTATTGGAAAAATGAATTATTTGCGAAAATGAAAAAAAGAACAGATAAATGTAAATTTGGAGATTTTACATTGTAATTCTAATGGAAATAAATATATTTTAATACTTTCAGAAAAATCAAAATTTGTGCCAACACCAATGGAAATGCAAAATTTAATAAAGCCTGAAACAAAGGAAATCATCAAACATAACTATAGTGAGATATCTTCAGTTTCACTTCCTGCATACTTCGATCCACCGATTGAGAAACCACAACGTGCCGAAATTGCTTATTATAGGTGTCAGACTGATCAAGTTCCTGCCTATTAATCATTCAATTAATTAGCCAATTAATCAATCAATCATTTTATTATCTCGTAGTATATAAGTTTATTTGTATGTATTGTAGTAGAGATGAAATACTTTCGTTTGATTCAATCAATGATATTAATTTAATGAGATATAATACGGATAGACAAACATCGATCGATCAAATATTTTTTTTTGCCATCTGATCAAATATTTTTGAGTAAAACGAAACATTGTTATATTCAAATCTAACGATTCATTTTTTATTGACATCATCCGTTGATATTTCCGATTCTTCATTTTATTTTCAAACAAATAAATTTCCATATAATAAATTTTTGCATGCATATTCTAATATTGAAATGAATAAAATTATATTTCAACTATTCATTGTTAGATTTATCGGCGCAATTATCCTGTCTGTTATTTATATTACGCATAAATGAGAGTACCATAAAGTAATGATATATAATAATTATTATCTCAAGTCGATTTATTTCAAATTGACCGAAATTCACAGAAAGTTTTTGGAGTATTTCAATAATTTTTCATTTACTTGGTACAGCACTTGTGTTACTTCCTCCAAAAACACGAATATTAGCCTGGTAATTAATTACCCTGTTAATTGGAGATAAAATTATCATTTTAGGATGATTAATTCATTTTTTCCTTTTCTAACTTCAAAGGTTAAATGAAAGAAAAAAAGACGTAGAAAGTCAATAAAAATTCGTAAAAATAAGAAAAATGAATGAATACAGTATAAAAATCTTTTGTTAAAATCACTTTTAACAGTTATTCCTTACTTGGTCTCTTTTCACATAAGAAAAAATTTTTAAATATTGCATGTATTTATTAAGTAATGTTGTTATCATAGAAATTATTAAGTAATGCTGTTATCGTAGGAGTTATGAAGTAATGCTGTTGTCAGAAAAGTTATTAGATGATATCATAATTTGATGCATATTTGAAATTGTAAATTCTACTGCAGGATACTTTTTCGACGAACATTTGTCCTCTTCTTGGCAACGATAATTCCAATTGAACAATTTATAAGTAATCTGACGGTGACTTGTTTTTTATTGTTTCTTATATTGTCTTATATTGCAAGTGATATTCAACTGATCTTGAAATCATTTATTTGATTCTTTTATCTTTCTTTTTTTGCTAATTTATTCAACTGAACGATTAAATTTATTCAACTCATACAATAAATGCAATAGACGTATCTGAATTGTTTGCTGTCATGTTTACCGTATCTGTAGTACAGTATCTATCATAATCTGTCGAATGATTATGCTTTAATCATAAAAATATATTTTTAAACAATATATTAAACAATATTTTTTTTGCATGAAATTGTGTATTTAAATAATATGTCGAAAATATTAAAGTTGGACACTAAGTGTTTAATTATGAAAAAAAGCTTTAATAGGTAAATGTAGCTAACAGTATTTTTAACAGTCTGTGAAATTTTAGGAAGCAGTAAAAAGAATTGTGACAAGCAGAATGAAATTTGGTGTGTTCTTTTAAAAGTTATGAGTTAAACGATTATTATCTTCTAAAGATTTCCATCAGTTAAGACTGAAAAATGAAATTTTTGTTTGAAATAAATTTGCATAGACGAAATAGTAATTACGATATAACAATTATTATTGGAAAATAGAATCATTCCAGTAATATTTAATTATAGAAAGGAGAAAATTTCAGATTTTTTTAAAGATTTTAAGCACAAGAAATGATAGCTAATTTATTTAACAAAAAGTTTTCAAGTTTCAAAAACGAATTTGTACTGATTATCAAATTAAAAAATTAACTCTTTAAAATTTTTCATTGACGTAGTTATGAACAAATATAGTAATCTTTGTTAGAGTAAAATCATTCTGATCATTTTTGCAAATTCTAAAGCTAATGATAAATATTTTATACTGTTAAATGACGTTCACAATTGACAAATTCAAATTGGTAAATTTTTCTCTTTTCTATTTTAATGATCCATTTGTTCTGAGCCTTAAATTATCACCATACTGTATATCTTAATATTCTTATCATTCTTCCTACACTTTTTTCTTCATTCTGACTCGTTTCCGAATTTAGCTGAAAATATTGATTTGCAGAAGTTTCAAATGTTACTACAAATATTTCTACGGAAGTACACGCTGTCACCATGTACGTTCATTAATTATCCTCTTAAATTATATTTTAATTTACATCATTTTACAAGCTTAATCGAGCAATAGACAGTAAATTCATAGGAATACGTTTGAAAAAAATGATTGGAATTGATAATTGCCGAATCATTTTTCTAATTTTGAGAGTTAAAATTCTAAAATAATTCTAATTTTGAGAGTTAAAAATAAAAAAAGTTTTCTAAACTTTTCAGTGTAAGCTAACAACAATCAGTGAAGATAGTAATCAAGATTAGTAAAATAATTTGAAATTGAATAATTTGAAGTGATTTAAAATAATAAATGGTAAAAATTTGCTTTATAGAGCAAATATCGGTGATCCGCTGGAAGTGAGTTACTTTTTTTAAAATCAAGTAAAAGTGTAAATGAGTTTAAAATTGTTGTTTAAAAATCATTTCTGTCTTTTCGTTGTAACAAGAGCAATATTTCTTAATAAAGAATTTTCTACAGTTTTTCAATTGTTGTCGTAAACTTTTTCTATTCAAATCACTGATGT